GGAGTAATTCCACATATAACCATGGCATGTGTGAGCAGTAAATCATTTAAGTGACAATTTTGTGTAAAAAAAAAAAAATTATTTTATTTTTGTCATTTTCCAAAAACTTGTGGTAAAAAAATAAATTCTTTTATTGATTCAACATTCCTCTCAGCAAATAGTTTGGGGTGATTACTTTCCAAAAGGGGGTCATTTTGGGGGATGGGGGAGTTTTATGCTCAGCATTAGAAGTTTATGACACACATCACTCACTCTAACCACCTGAAGACCAAGCCTTTTTGTTCACATGAAAAAAAAAATCAGTATTTTTTGCTAGGAAATTAATTTAAACCCCCAAACATTATATATATTTTTTAAAGCAGACACCCTAGTGAATAAAATGGTGGGTACTACAATTTTTTAATGGCACATAGTACTCGCGCAGCGATTTTTCAAAAGCAATTTAAAAAAAAAAAAAAAAACTACTTTTTTTTACTTTTAATGCACAAAAAACACAATATATTGGCCAATTGTTTGGTAAAATATAAAAGATAATGGTATGCCGAGTAAATAGATACCAAACATGACATGCTTTAAAACTGTGCATGCCCTGTTCAATGGCGACAAACTGCAAACATTTTTAACACCCATAGGCAGCGCTTTAAAAGCCACCATTTTAGATTTACAGAGGAGGTCTAGTGTTAGAATTACTGCCCTTGATCTGACGTTCACAGCAATACCTCACATGCATGGTGCAACCGCTGTTTACATAACGGCACAGGGTCAAGGCTTGTGCACACAGGTGTGCGCGCATGGGAGGGGCAATTTTTTTTTTTTTAGTTATTTAAATTTTTTTTTTATTATTTTTACATTGTACCTTTCATTTTTTTTTTTTATTTTTTTTTTTTTATCACGTTTAATGCTATAACAGGGAATGCAAATAACCCCTATAACTTCAATGGGCATTGTCATATATTCTTTTTTGAGAAATCTGGGGTCTATCAGACTCTGGATATCTCCTCTGCCCTTACATTATCTAATCAAACCAAAATCGGTGTGATCAGATGCTTTCCCAATTTACAAATGGCGCTGTTTAAATCCTGCGAAACTGAAGTGATGAAATGCTTGTAGCTTCCGAATTCTTAGACTATAGAGATGATTGGCACCATTCTGGTGTCCAATCAGCTCTATGGTCAGCTGGCAGAAACACCGGCTGCATTCTCAGGTTCTCCTGATGGCACAGGACTGCCCGAGAAGGCCGTGGAAGGCAGCGGGGGAGGGGGGACATCATCTCCCACTGCTTGTAAAAGCAATCTTGCAGCTAATTAGCCACTAGGATTGCTTTTACATGAAAGCCGATCACCGGCTGAAAAAAATGACACCAGGATGATGCCTGCAGCTGTAGGCATCATCCTGGTATAACCATTCAAATCCAGTGATGTACCAGTACATCGCTGGTCCTGGTTGGTTATATATGCTATGTTCTTTTTTTTTTTTTTTTTTGTATGCAGCCCATGGACTGAATGAAAAAATGAGAATAAATCTCTGCCAGAAAAAGTGTGTGGTATGCCCACCATTAGAATATACCGCCCTGCATCCACCCCCTTCTAATGGTGGGCACACATTAGGTCACACTTTGCCACAAGTGCAAGTTCCAAGATTGTACAAATGTCTAAATAGTGGCACGCTTGAATAAAAATTGTCCAATTATAAGTGGTACCCCATATGGAGAAATGATGACACCAAGTCCCAAACTATCATGCCACTGCTCCCCATGTAGTCTGGGCATACGGGGGGCTCCACGTGACTATCTTTTCCCTCGTAAATCCGAAACTTATAAGTATAGCCTGTTGCCCTCTCACAGGTCTTCTACATCTTGACCCCATATCTGGCACGCTTGCTGGGGAGAAATTGACTGCAAGGCGGCCAGAAAAATTAATAAGGGACTCCTCAATGCAGATGTTTTGCTGGGGAGTATAGACATCTGCAAATTTTAGGTTAAGGTGATTTGCGAGGGGCTGAATTTTGTGGAGCCGGTCAAATTCAGGGTTAACCCCGAGGATGACAGAGTGTATTGTCGCTGAAATGCATAAAACACATTATACTGTCATATCTATGCCTGGCCATGGCAGCCGAGAACACGGCATATGATGAATCGGGTCTGCGGACCAATACAACCGCAATTCATTTCTTTTAGTAATGCCCATGTCGAGGGTTAGGCCCAAAAAAAAATGTAAATTTGAAAACCGTAATGAGTTTCCATGCGAATGGTCTGGCAAGGTTTGAATTTGGGTTGGCGGCAATAAATTGTTTAGCATATAAACTGCTTTGATCCACAATCAACGCATACAGATATTCCGTGAAAAACAGCTCCAAAAATCAAGGAGGTATGTGAAAGACCAGGATGTACTAGACCGCTGGTACTTGCCAGTTCACCAAAAGGTAGAGGGGCACTAGTACTGGCACTCTGCTGCATATGAGAGTCATCAAAATTTTCCGGCAAGTGCTAACAGAGATCAGGCCTGATACTGCGAACACTGCGGTTTTGTGTGCAATGTATCATCAAGTGACAGTGACCTACTGACACTGCACTTGCTGGGGGAGAAGGGGGGGGTGAGCGTAGGGGCTAAACGCAGGTGTTGGCAGGTGCAGGGGCTGATCCCGCTAACGCTGCGTTTTTGGGGACGCTATATTAATGTGAACGCTGGTATAGTGCTGACCTGATCAAAGATATTGACCCGTTCAGACACTATACTAGCAATGGAGGTTTATTGTACATGAGCGTGCTCCTGGCAATCAAGGGGTTAAATGTGATGACTGGTGTACTGACGGGCAATCTGACGCTATCTGGAGGGGCATGAAAACCACAGGAGCGCGAATCACGTATATATATATGTGTAATTTTTGCGTACCCATGCCGCCCTGTAGCAGTTTTTCTGCTGTAGGGTGGTCAGGAAGCGGTTACAGAAGAGCTTTGTGTTACGGCGCTGCGTTTACTTTAACTGACAATTGCACGGTCATGCAACACTGAACCCAAATGAAATTTACATCCTTTTTTTCCCAACAAATTGAGCATTCTTTCGGTGGTATTTGATCGCCTGTGCGGTTTTAATTTTTTGCGTTATAAAAAAAAAAAAAAGGCTGACAATTTTGAGAAAAAAAAAAAAAATATTTTGGACTTTTTGCTATAAAATTGTCACAAATTTCATCCAAAATGTATTCTGCGACATGTCTTTGCTAAAAAAAAATCCCAATACGTGTAAATTAATTGGTTTACATGAAAGTTATAGCGTTTCCAAATTGCGGGAAAGATACTGGGATTTTTAATTTTTATTTATACTAATAATGGTGGCGATCAGCGACTTATGGCAGGACTGCGGCGTACATTTTGACACTGGGGGAGAACTGACTTGGGTGTCACTGACATCCCCAGTGACACTAATACAGTGATCAGTGAAAAAAAAACCCACTGACACTGTACTGACACTGGGGAGGAAGGGGTTAACATTTTATTTCACTGAAAGGGTTAGGGGAGTGTTTTACTAGGGGGCGGGGGTGTGTGCTGGACGGGGGCAGGCTGATCGAGAGAGAAACTCTTCTCTCCCTCTGCAGCTTGTTAGGGAACTGACAGATAGCAGGGCTGTGTGCAAACAATGCAGCCCTGCTCTCTGTCAGCGATCACCACTAATCCCGGGGAAACGGGCTGACACCCGCGGGGACAGTTAGGGCGGGCGCGAGCCCCCTACCTGTTTTTACAAAACTACGTTTTAAAACGTGGTTTTCCCCAGCCGTGCCGCCCTGCAACCGTTTTAATGCGGTGGCTGGGCGGCAAGTGGTTAACTTCTTGCCGACCACGCATAGCCGAATGACGGCTTCTTCACCGCGGACACAGCTGATCACGTGATGTGGTGAAAGGCCGATCCCACCGGCCTTTTACCACGTGATCAGCGGTGTCCAATGACACGCTGATCACAGGGAAATGCAAGTGCAGTTTCTCGGCTGCACTTTCCTCACGCTGTCAGATCGTGAGGAAAGTACTGCCGAGAACCGGCAGTTGTCAGAGCGGGGATCAGCACCGATCATCAGGGCACTGATGATCAGTGCCCTGATGATCGGTGCCCAGCAGTGACACCCGCAAGTTCCGCCCAGCAGTGCGCCCACTAGCCCCGCCCACCCGTTCCCAGCAGTGCCCCCACCTGTGCCCAGCAGTGCCCCCACCTGTGCCCAGCAGTGCCCCCTACATGTGCCCACCTGTGCCCACCCACCAGTGCCACCCACCTGTGCCCACCACCTGTGCCACCCACCTGTGCCCACCAGTGCCACCCACCAGTGCAGCCCAGCAGTGCTGCCAGTGCCACCAGTCAGTGCCCAGGGGTTGTGCCAGTCAGTGCCCAGAAGTGATGCCAGTCAGTGCGTCTATCAGTACCCATCATCAGTGTCACCTATCAGTGCTGCATATCAGTGCCGCCTATCCGTGACCCCTAATTAGTGCTGTCTATCAGTGCCGCCTATCCGTGCCACCTCATTAGTACTGCCTATCAGTGCCCTTTAGTGCTGCCTATCAGTGCCCATCAGTGCCGCCTATCAGTGCCCATCAGTGCCGCCTCATCAACGCAAATCAGTGGAGAAAAAATACCTGTTTGAAAAATTTTATAAAAGAAACCAATAAACTTTTTTTTTTTTTTCAAATTTTTTGCACTTAATTTATAGCGCAAAAAGTAAAGCGCCCAGTGGCGATTAAATACCACCAAAAGAAAGCTCTATTTGTGAGAAAAAAATGATCAAAATTTCATATGGGTACAATGTTGCATGACCGCGCGCAATTGTCAAAAGTGCGGCAGCGCTGAAAGCTGAAAATTGGCCTGGTAAGGAAGGGGGTATAAGTGCCTGGTAGGCAAGTGGTTAAAGCTACAAATTTACAGCATTTATGGTAAATACCGATGGAATATATTGTAAAATGTCAGATATTTATTCATGCAGAACATTAAAAAGTTACGGAAATATACTTTATGGCGTTTTACCTTGTTAAAATGAGTCTGTCTAGGTTAATCCTTTGTTGTTTTGAAATCCAAGATGTTCTGTAGAGCTTCTCTGCAGTCTTTAAAACATCAGCATTCAGCCTCTGGATCAGCTGTTTTTCTGCATTAACATACAGCTTCTCCTGCTTGAGGTGGCGGGCAAGGGTGTGGATATCCGGCTTCACCATTTTGGGGCGTTCTAAGGACCAGCGGACCTGCTAAATAAAAAAACAAACCAAAAAAAGAAAGACATAAGTCAGCCAACCATGGAAACCAGCTAGCGATGCTCCGAAATGAAAATTCTAAACCAAAACTTCAGGATGCACTGAAAAACCGAACTGTACAGTTAAAAAAAAAAAAAAAAAAATCTATCTAAATTTTTTTTTTATATATAGGATTGTACTATGTTCGGCTTTCTGATTTTATGAATTTAAATTAAAGTGAATTTTAAAAATACAATCCAGTAATGTAAAATAATTTTGATTGAAAGGAACACAAAAAATGGACAGAAAATAAAATGAAATTTATACCTCCTAGATTGTAAGCACTAATGAGAAGGGCCCTCCGTTTCCTCTTGTACCAAATTGTACTGTAACTAACGTCTACCCATTTTGTAAAGCGCTGCGCAAACTGTTGGCGCTCCTGTATATTAATAATTGAAGAAAACAAATAGAAGCGTGTTTGCATTGAAGTCAGAAGGAGCTGTTTTTACATTGAAGTCAGAAGGAGGTTGTTTGCATTGAAGTCAATGGAACACGATTTTGCATTGAAGTCAATAGGGGGCGTTTTGCATTGAAGTCAATGGGACGAGATTTTGAATTAAACACAATAGGGGGCGTTTTTGCATTGAAGTCACATTGATGCACCACTCTGGCCAATAGAAAACAATCACTTTTGTACAATACACCAGTGATGTACAAAAAAATGCACTCATTCTATTCAAGTCTAGGATTAGTCTTGTAAGGCTGCACTTTGTTCTCCACACACACCAGTGCCCCCCCTTATTTCTTATTTGCATATCCACCTGGCTTGTGTCTCCAGGACTTCCAATGGTAGATTAACTTTCACTTTCCTGATCACAAGGGAATTTGTCCTGTTTCCTACTTTGTGCAGCAGTTGCATATGTCTTCATCTGAATGTTTTCACCTGCAGCAGATTCTGCATTTTTTGCACTCGTTTCAGAGGGCTGCAGTCAATACCACTATGCATATGGCCTATGAATCAAGATGTTTCCATAGAGAGGGCTCGGGGGGTGAGGTTTGGGGGGCATCTCCATGCTGTACAAATTGTTTATCCGACTGCAAAACTGCCCTATATGCCAGCTTGGGAATGGGACTTGGGGAAGGAGATTGATTTGATTGACTGGCGGACTTTATCTCCTCGAATGTATAAGAACATTGTGGATACTGTCCTGGTAGAGGTGGGATATAAGGTACTTTCTAGATGGTACCTGGTGCCAGAGCGCCTCTTTGTGCTTTCGGGGGTGTAGTCACCCCGGTACAATGTTCCACACAGGTAAACCTGTAAAGCTGCAGTTTCAAAAGCGAGCAAAATCCTCTCTTGTATTAAAAGAGGTATAGACTCCAGAGAGACAGATATCATATTACCCTGTACAAATCATTAGTAATACCTCTTCTGGAATATGCAGTTCAGTTTTGGGCATCAATTCACAAAAAGAACATTGGGGAACTGGAGAAAGTACAGAGAAGGGCAACAAACCTGATACGAGACATGGAGGAGCTCAGCTATGAGGAAAGATTAGAGGAACTGAATTTATTCTCTCTTGAGAAGAGGAGATTAGGGGGGGATATGATCAACATGTATAAATACATAAGGGGGGATATGATCACCATGTATAAATACATCAGTGGTTCATATAGTGAACTCGGTTTAGAGTTATTCACCCTGAGGTCATCACACAGGACAAGGGGGCACTCTTTACATTTCTTTTGGAGGAAAAGAAAGTAATCTCCAAATACAGAAAGGTTTCTTCACAGTGAGAGCTGTGAAAATGTGGAATAGACTCCCTCAAGAGTTGGTTCTGGCCAGCTCAGTGGATTACTTTAAAAAAGTCCTGGATTCTTTCCTAGATACACAGAATATAACTGGATACTAACATGTATAGGTAAAGTTGATCCAGGGAATATCAGATTGCCTCTCATGGGATCAGGAAGGTATTGTTTTCCCTGCAGGAGCAAATTGGATGATTTGCTTTGTTTTTATTTTTGCCTTCCTCTGGATCAACTGTGGATATAGGATTATAACTTTTTTTTTTTTTTAATGGTTGAACTGGATGGACTTTTGTCTTTTTGCAGCCAGACTAATGCAGGCCATAGATGGGTCGAAAATCGGCCGAAAATTCGTACGAAAGAATAATCGGATGATTTTCGGATCATTAGTGGGTGAATTTGTCGGCCGTTTTTCGTGATTTTGACACATTTTTTTTTAATCGGTTATGTTGGAAATCTTTTTCCCGATAAAAAAAATGCGCATGAGCCGTGACCTGCAAGAAGAAGAAAAAGAAGAAGATGAAGACAAAGAAAAAAAACATCTGTATCTATTTGTATCCATTTCGGATACAAATGTTTCTATTCAGATACAAATAGATACAATGTTGCAACCGCAATACTTTTAAATGTCAAAAATAATAGCGGAGTGTCCCTGCAGAGAGCTCTGCTATTATATTTGACATTTAAAAGTATTATGGTTGCAATATTGTATCGATTTGTATCCGAATAGAACCATCTGTATCTGAAATGGATACAAATAGATACAATGTAGCAACTTTGCTATACTTTTAAATGTCAAATATAATAGAGGAGCTCTCTGCAGGGACACCGCTATTATATTTGCCGGCCGTAGACGGGATGAAAATCAGCCGATTTTTTTTACCAATGGTGGTAACGTCGGCCGATTGAACAACCGATTTTTTGGGTTTTTTTTTTTAAAAACCCGGTCGGTTTTTGCCGCCCCATCTATGGCCTGCTTAACTATGTAACTATGTCAGCAAAGCACATGATTTTGCACAGATTCCCATCACATACCAGATGTGAACCTAGCCTTATACTTGGTTTCTGTTTTCACACAATACGCCTACAAGAACATGGAAAAAGGCCTTGTTTAGATCCCACACCATGCATATGCATAAAGGAAATTTCTCTACACACATTCACTGCTGCACTATATTTGATGATTTTTTGTATAATGAAAATGTTACTAGGATATCACACAATGCAGTATCGAGTTTGCACTATATTGTCTGTAAAAATAAATTTGCTAAAATAATAAACACAGTATCACTGGCTTCTCAAGATGTTAAAGAATATGTTACCCCAACATTTCCTATTCCTGATATATGCCTGCTGTACCATGTACTTGAATGAAAAAAAAAAGTCTCCTGTTCTCTTGGGATTGTTCTCTTTGTATTGCTCCCTTTGTGTGAAATCCCTGGTGTTCCTGTCATTCCTTCTGCTTTCCTATTAAAAACTGACCACAACGTGGTCAGATTTCTGGTTGTGCTGGGAACTCAGTGTGCTCTCCTCTGATCAGACTTTCCTGACGCCCCCACATTCCCTGGCCATTCACTGAGAAGATTCTGCTGAGTGGATGTGATCACTTATAAAAAAGAGGAACAAAAAGATATTTATAAGGTGTTTATATCTATACACACATTTTGCCATTTTTATTACTATTCTAAATTGAATGGGTTGTTTTACAGGGTGGGGTTTTACAATTACTAAAAAGTGGAACTTTAACCAAACAAAAAAAAAATTTTGACAAACAGGCAGGATTTTTAATACAGAAGAGATCAACTGCAGCACACAAGCAGCTCAGTGTACAATATCATTAATGCTGAGATAAATCAACTCCTGGGCCTGTGGGGGAGTGATGTCATCTTGGCTGGGCCAATGAAAATGGCTGAGGTTCAGTACCTGGAAGTCGCTTCAGCAGCTGGCAAGGAACTCCAAGATACCTGGGAGAGTATAGTTTTGCATTCAAATGGACCTTCACAGCATAGAAACATCTCCATAAGGGTGAAGAGGTCCATCCCCTACAGGACACTAACAAAAAATAGGTCTTAAGTAGTAGGGTAGCATTATAGGGGTACGTTCAAGGGGGCCAGTCCAATCACCTGAAGGTAGCTGTCTATAATTCAGGGCCCAGTCACATTATTTTTGTTCCTCTTGGACCCCCCAGCTAGATGAGAATTACATCAGCCATGTTCCAGCAGCCTTCTAGGATATCCACTTCAGATATCCTAAGAGTAATCAGCATCCAAATAGTGGCTGGAGGAGGGTGGACCTGGTGGTACATAATCGGAGAGAGACGGCTGACCCGTGAGGACGTACAGCAGTGCAGGACCTGGCATGCAGATCGCAGCAGGACAATGCTGGATTTCCTAGGCATATGTTTAAAAGGTGAACTTTCTCTTAAATTGTGAGAAAGGACGACAACTTGGAACAATTCTTGTGGAACTAAAATAACATTTCATTAGAATATTTCAGATTTATGAGAGGCTTGTCAACCGTTTATGAAAAAATAAAGATTACAAAACCATGTAATAGTTAAGTATGTGAAATGAACACAACATAAAATTAGACAATATAAAGTTAAAGAGAGATTAAACCCAAAACCAAAAATGTCTGACAATCAGATGTGGTGGCTGAATTTTCTTTTTTTTTTTTTAGGCTTTTTCCCCCCTTTCGTTTTCACCTGGTGATCTGCCCAGTAACATACCTCCTGTATTAGCATGCCCATGCTCTTGAGGAAGGAGAACAGGGGGCACCTTTGGACAGCAGCATTGTCATTTTAGGGGGAGGAAAGTGTTAGATATATTAGCATATTTAAATACACTAAACACATTGAAGGCAAATTCCAGCTCACATTTTTAAGCAGTTAGTACAGTTTTTTTTTACTTTCCTTTTGGGATAAAGATTTGCTGCCCCAAACTACCTTAACGACCTGATACCCAAATACCACCCTACCCGTAATCTTTGCTCCTTGCAAGACCTCCTACTCTCTAGCTCCCTGGTCTCCACCTCCCACGCCCGACTGCAGGACTTCTCCAGAGCTTCCCCATCCTCTGGAACTCACTTCCCCAATCCAACAGATTGTCCCCTACCCTCCTCACCTTCAGGCACACTCTGAAAACCCATCTCTTCAGAGAAGCCTACCCCACCCTCACCTA